GGGGGATGGAGGGAAAGCAAAAGTGATAGGCATAAGTAAAGTCAGAGTGTCGAGGAAAAATTAAAGGGAAGATATCCTACAACTTCTAGGAAATCTCCACCAATGGAGCAAAGAAAAAAAAAAGACCTCTATTATTCTGTGAGCACCAAACCAAACTGGGTTGGGGTCTCAGACAATTCCCTCATATGATTGCAAAGACAGACAGAAACTCCCAGATTGGAGAGGGCTCCCCTGAAGGCTCCCAGATTGGAGAGGGTGCAGGTCGGGCTGAGGGACCCACCCCTCATGCACGAATTTCATGCACTGGGCCCCTCGTGTGTAAATAAAAAGCTGTGGGTCCAGACATTTGGGCAGCCCATCCCACTAGAGAAGGATTTCCGCCTGGTCCCCCATGCCTTCCAAATTTACATTTCTTGTCTAGTCTCTTCATTTATGCGTCAGTTCCTTCTGCAGATTCCTCAACCCTTGCTGTGAAAGACTGCGGCATTTGTGGCGCCTCAATGAGGGACATCTGAAGAAGAAGATGATTTGCCTGAGTGAAGGAAGAGGTCCACCGGTAAAGGTGGGGATCACCAGTAAAGGTGGGGAGATTCACTGGGCATAGAGCTCCCACCAGTTTTGGAATTCGTGATCCAGAGTGGGCGAGGACGTCTTTTGTTTCAAGCCAGGCTATAATGGGGAAGAATTTGATTAAAAGGCAAAATTATAAAGAAATTAAAATGTCAAAATGTTTACTCTCTTAAATCAGGCTCAAAGAAAAATGAGTATCCTTGTCATATTTAACTATGTGGGTTCTTGTTCAAATTGCAAAATGCCCAATTTGTATTGGGGATCAAAGGTCTGTAATAACTAAAAAGGCACCACCGGATCCTCCACCTCTGGTGCAGAAAGGCTCAGTTCTCTCGCAGGGGGACTCTGATGCTTTGTCTGAAAATTACCATATGATGCCTTGGGGCAGGCAGATTTTTAGCTAAAATAACTTTAAAGGCTAGTGTATACTATAGAGAGCAGAATAGGAAAAGATTCATGAAAAGAACCATGATATATTAAGTCTTGTCTATATGTCTGTTGATCTGTCTTTTTTGTTTGGTTTAATGTGTTTATTGTTAGTTTATTAAGCATGCCTTTAGTTTAGTGGGAAAAAAAACCTTGGCGGCCAGGCCATTTACTGAATTTCCCCAGAGCAACAGGATGTAGGGGTGGGGAGACATGTGGCTGATAGTATCTGTCCTGGGGACACAAAGGGAGGTAGAGATAACAAAAAGAGAAGTCTAATTTTTGCCATGTTTTTTATTTCTCAGTCCGTCATTTAAAATTTGGCACAATTTAAGGGATACATCTGAGATTTGTGTACTCATGAAGAAAAAAAAGCTGGCTTAAGACAAAAACACGCTCTGTCTAATCTTGGGTGGGTCTTGGGCTGAACTCAAACTCTATGGATGCTATAGAATAAACCCAAGACTGTTTTTCTAAAAAAAAAAAAAAAGATGGCAAAAATGACCCAAAGAAAATATACAGGCTGAGTTTAGGGAACAAGATAGGTGTTTCCATAATAAAGGGTAGAGAGTGCTTTATTGTGTTTCATTATACTCTGCACACAGCATGACCGCAGACAATGGGGCTGCTGTTGTTGCCTTGACAAGTATCTTTATATGATCCAGCTGCATCAGCATTTCTTCTCTGTAGAGAACTAGGGGCCCCTTGTGCCTCCTCCATCATCTGCCAACCACGTCTCCCACCTGACACAGAGCTGAGCCAGGAAAACACGGGGTGCAGTGGGTTTACCCAGTTTTCCTAGCAAGTTCACCAGCAGAACCAGGGCGGCCACAAAGCTGCGCCTCATGGCCTTTTAGGGGAAAGTTAAAGACTGAGCAGCAGTCAACCTCAGGTCTGTAGCTTCCTCCAATTCGGTCATCATATTCTCTGGCTGCTAAGAACATCAGTGAAGGGTCCTTGTCATGCTAGTTACACGGGTGTCTCCTGACATATCACACAGCTGGACACATTTGGCATCTATATATCCCTAGAGGAGCTCCAAATTCTTTCCTGCACTGGTCACCGAGGGGTTGTGGCAGCCACACATATACAGTCCAGGCAAGCTCTGTGGTTAGAGTAGCGAGGGCAGCGCTGACCGGGCCATGTAAGGATGTGGGTTTAGGGTATCAGGTCCACATTTCCATCCTTCTTATTCCTGGGATGTTTGATACACTGTCTTCATTGGACTTCTTGGCATACAATGATTAAGAATCTGGTCCTTTGCTGATCTTTCAAAAATTTATTTATTTACTTATTTATTTATCTTTTGCTATTCTTGATTCTGCTTAAATGCCTGGCTTGGTTTTGGGGTGAGATTTCTTGATTTGTGCTCAAGACCCTTTCAAGCCTTCAGTGGGAAAAAGTACAGCTTTGCTGCTTTGGGCCCTGTGCCTTCATGGGGAACATTGCTGTGAGCTGAAGACAGCTTACTCTCCCTTTGCATTATCACAGGAGCTGGTCTTGCTTGCGCCTGGTGGGCACCTGGCCGGACCCTGGGGATACAGCAGTGAACAAGACATGTGAGGTCCTTGCTCTCATGGAGGTCATAATTTATTGATGATTCAGTAGCAATTCCTTCTTGACTTCACACTAGCTTCATGGGCTCCCCATTGGCCAGCTGGCTCCATTCACCAACTCTTTCCCCTTCCAGCCCTCTCCCCCCATTTCCTTGCCAATATTTGTTGACTTCTGAGTTTGTTGTGGAGACCAAGGGGCATGGGAGGCTCTATGAGCTGAACATTCTTGTTGACCGTACAGCCTGTACTCAGAGTCCTGACACCGAGTCTGACCCACCTCCTCTCTTTGCAGGTCAGAGATGCCCTCATGGCGGCTGGCATCGCAGGAGTGGGCTTGGCAGCTGTGGGCCTCATCGGAGCTGTGATCTCAAGAAACAAGCGACAAAAGCAATAAGTTGAAGGGACTGTCCTGACAGCAATTACTTTATACATTAACAGGAACTTGTTTTGCTAGAGGTTTTGAGGTTTGGTTTATGGCTTTCATTCTGTTTTTATAATAAGACATATTTTCACAGAATTAAATACAGCCCAATAAAGGAGGATGTTATTGGGGGAAATGCAGCCAGAACTGCCTGGTGTGAAGTCTGTTGAGGGCACAGCTGGGCTCTGTTCCTGGTGACGCCAGTTGGTGCCCTGGCCCTTTGGTGATCTTTCACTTTCTCTTTGCGGCTGCGTTCTTACCTTGCAGGACACACAGTCCAACTCCTGTTACCTCAAGTAATGGGCGCTTCTGGTTGTGAGGACACACTGGACAGCAAGACCTCGTGGATATACAAGAACAGGAACCACGGGATAGTCAGGACCTTGGCCTGGAACTAGACCCGGGATGGCTTCTAGGCTCAGCAGCCAGAGTGTGCAGATGTTCACTGGAGTTCAAACCAAACCAAACCTTTGCCATAAAGAAACTCAATATATGCTCTTGCCAATCTTAAAACCAGCCTTATTACCTCTCTGCTCTTCACATCTTTCCTCTGTTTGTTGCTTTCACCCTCCCCCACCCCATCCCCAGAACTCCTGCTTCCTCACCACTGGGCTTGGGACAATCCTGAGGTCTCTGATCCCACATCCCCTCCTTTGCCCCTCCTCCCCATATCAGCTCAGCTCTGTCCCTTCCTACACCCTGTCAGGTGCTCCTAGTTCAAATTCTTGAGAGAGAATCAGCTCACCAAATCCTAGTTCAGCCTACTGATTGGCTGCTGTTGGGTCAGGTGACCCTATTAGGCCAATCAGCTCTTTCCTGTTGGGGCCAGGTCACATGGTGGTTGCCTCACACCTTCTAGTTTGGGGGTGTGGCAGGCCCCAAGCCTGACCTCCCTGCTGCCCAACCCTCCTGGGAGGGGTTGGGGGAAGGAATGCCCCTTGTGGCGAGTCCCTTGAGGTCTGCTTCTGCCCTGTGGGCTTAGAAGGTGTTCAAAGTGACCGTTTCTCTAAAAGGGGCTTTTGTGTGTTCCTCAGAGACACTCTACTAGTGCTGCGAATGTTTCCTTTGTCAGCCCTGGTGTCAGGGACCATGTGTCTGTTGGAATCCTGGACAGGACTGTCAAGGAAAAGAAAACGGACTCTGTAAACTTCAGAAAAGAGTTTTATTGAAGACTTACTTGTTGAGGGCGGGCCTTGGAACAGTGCTCTGACTTGGGGGGAGTGAGAGGGACTTATGTAGACAGAAAAGGAAGTGAAGGTACATTTGACACTAGAACAGCAGTTCTCAACCTGTGGGTTGTGACCCCTTTGGTGGTCAAACGACCCTTTCACAGGGGTCGCCTAAGACCATCCTGCATACCAGATATTTACATTACAATTCATCACAGTAGCAACCTTACAGTTATGAAGTAGCAACAAAAATAATTTTATGGTTGGGTCACAACATGAGGAACTGTATTTAAAGGGCCAGAAGGTTGAGAACCACTGCACTAGAAGTTACGACTCGGGTACCTAAGCTTCCATGGTTGTTTGACATCCACTGGAAGGGACGCATAGAAAAGAGGAAGTTGAGTTGCTGCTGAACCTCCTGCTGTGGAAACTATCCAATTGCTTTGAGACTCTTGAGATGAATCTTTGATCAGGATGGAGAGAGGACAGACACTCTCTCTGGTAATCAGTGTCCCTTAGAGGGGAAGCATTGCAGGGTCTGTGTGTGACTGGCCCTGCGGTTAGTAAAGAATCTTAGTTAGTAAGGCTCCTGGTTCTTCCCTGGTTGCTGATGTAAACAGAGGAGCTCATGCACCCTTTCCCTTCCTCAGGACTTACAGGTGGCTCCGTGCCAGCTTTCTCCTGCTGGGCACACATCTGGGGATGGAGGCCGCAACCTCAGTATGTGCCCTGACAGGGAATCTAACCGGCAACTTTTTGTGCACAGGGCAACATTCAACCAACTGAGTCACAGTGACCCGGCTCAACTCCCTCCATTTTCAGTGACTCTCTTAGCATGTTTATTCCATTTTATTTTCTCTTGTGTTATTATTCTCCAAACACAAGAAAGCAAAACAGAAACACCCAGTTCAATTAAAAAAAAATTAACAAATTGCATAAAAAACTGGAAGGTGTAGAAATAACCAAATAAGATGGAAGAACCAATTCCAGATATATTGGTAATCACCATAAATGTAAATGGGTTAAACTTGCCAAGTAAAACACAAACATTAGCCTTGGCCGGGTAGCTCAGTTGGTTAGAGTGTTGTCCTGACATGCCAAGGTTTTGGGTTTGACTCCTGGTCAAATCACATACAAGAATTAACCAATGAATCAATCAATTAAGTGGAACAACAAATTGATTGTTTCTCTCTTTCTTCTCTCTCTGATGTATAAAATAAGTGGTAAAACTGCCATTTTCTAGAGCATTTTTTCAATCTGATGAGATTTTGCTTCTCAGCAATTGTTATAAGTTTGGATGAAATAAACTCATAAAAATTCTTACAAGTTTGAATGTTTCTTACACTGACACACTGTACGGAGAAACCTCTAGGCCCAAATGGCATCGCTTATGCTAAAATCCCATGATACTGACCCTAGATTTAATACTTGATTTGTTTGTGGTCTCAACCTCTTCCGGAAATTGAATCTTAATTAACCAATTTGGAATTTTCTGGTCGGGCACCAGTAAAGTAATCTGTCCTGCAGGCTCATTCCCCGTCCTCCTCCCCACAGAAAGAAGAGACAACCTGCATGACAAAAAGCCTTGCTGTTCCCTTTCCCCCAAACCCAGGTCCTGATCTAAAATATAATCCTTTTCGTTTGTTAAGAGCTCTCGTGCCCCACCCTTTTACCTATAAAACACCTTTCATTTTGTACAACCCCTCAGAGTGCTGTGGACGGAAGGGGCCACATGCTAACCTGACAAGCTCAGGGAAGGCCTGTATGGCAGTCATGCAAACTCAGAGACCTAAAGTCACCCCAGGGATGGTCTGAAATTAAACTTTAACTAAAAGCAGTTATGGTGGGTAGTCACCTCCTAGGCTGGTATCTTCACTGACAAGGTCAACCTTTACCTTAACTGAGCCTATCTGTCTTTCTGCATCTCTACTAACATATCTTTGAAATGTCTGGGTAACTTGTAACTTCCCTTTTTCTGGACCCCTCAGGGCACAACCAAATGTGCCTGGGTGCCAGGACAGATACCACAGATTCCTTCATTGTTGTTGTTATCATGTTAATTGTTGACTGTTAACTATCCTGAACCCACCTAAGTATGTGTCTGTCTTTTACTTTTCATCTAATCCCAGAGGTTCCCAGCTTTGCTTTCTCCCACCTCCCTAATCTCTCACCAGTGGATTTCTTGTAACCCTCCCATGTCCCCTCCTTTGATTGCGATGTATAAAAATAGATGAAAAATGGCCATTCTTTGGAGCATTATCCCAGTCCATTGAGAATCTGCTTCCCGGCAATTGTTGACAGTTGGGCTCAAATAAACTCACAAGAATCTTTACAGGTTGGGTTGTTTTTATGTTAACATTGCCCTTGTACTTGCTGGATGAGATGTTGCCCGATTCATTAGTTCCTTAATAAAGCCAGGGAGATCTTCAAATTTACTAGGTTGAATTTTTTGTTTGTTTGTTTTTTGTTTGTTTTTTTAAAAAAATATATTTTATTGATTTTTTACAGAGAGGAAGGGAGAGGGATAGAGAACTAGAAACATCGATGAGAGAGAAACATCGACCAGCTGCCTCCTGTACATCCCCTACTGGGGATGTGCCCGCAACCCAGGTACATGCCCTTGACCGGAATCGAACCCAGGACCCTTCAGTCCGCAGACTGACGCTCCATCCACTGAGCCAAACCGGTTTCGGCGAATTTTGTTTTTTAATAAATGAAAAAGGGCAATGTGTTAGGGTTCTCCAGAGAAAAAGAACTGATAGGATATAGCCATAGATACAGGTATGGATATATGAGATTTATTACATGAATTGGCTCACATGGTTATGGAGGCCGAGAAGTCTTACAATCTGTCATTTGCAAGCAGTGGACCAGAAAAGCCAGCCATGTAATTTGTTGAGAGGCTAAAGGACTGCAAATAAGGTGTTAAGGCCACTGGTGTCAACTCTGGAGTTCAAAGCCTTGAGAAACAGGAACTATGATGTCCAGAGCATCATAGGTGGACATCCCAGCTCAAGAGAGAGAGTTGGTGTTTTCTCCACCGTTTTGTTCTGTCTGGACCCTCAGTGGATTGGATGATGCCTGCCCACACTGGTGAGTCACCTTCTTTACTCAGTCTCCTCATTTAAATGCTAATTTCTTCTGGAAACACACTCAGAGCTCACGGTGTAAATACAAATGTCTAATAAACACAGAAATGTGAAAAAGATCCCATGCTATTACTTCCAGGCTGACAAATATTTAAAAAGATGTTGAACAATTGGGACTCTGGTGTACTGCCCGTGGGAAACTTAATTTTGCATTTTTTCTCTAATAAAGTTGAAGAAGGTCATACTGCTACCAGAGAACTGCCCAAGTCTAAGGGGCCTCTCCCCTCTTAGGCTCGTGTCAGGCTTTTGAGAAAGAATTCAGATAAGTGACAAAAAGCAGTGCTGAAGCAAAGCAAGAACATTTATTAAAAATACACTTGGCATAAAGCACAAGTGGGCAACTCAGCTAGTCTTAGCGCCCCGCCTGGTGGGGGTTCAAGGGTTTTATATTTTCCCCCCTTATAGGTTTCAAGATTCCCCTGCTGGATCTTGGGCAACAGACTAGATTTCCAGGTCCCCCTTTTACATTGTTGTAGCTTTCCCCCAAATTTATGAGAACATTTCACAATTTTATCTTGGCAAGTTCCAAGATTGCTGACTTCTTCATTCAGTGGGTGAGAAAAATTCCCTCTTTCCCTACCCCCTCCCCCTCCTCCTGCCCTAGCAGCCATCTATCCTGCCTAACAATACCATACACCCCAACAACTCTGGTTGGTGACCCTTTAGTCAGTGATAACTTTAGTTTAGTCGGTCACAGTCAGTATGTTAGAAAAAATAAAGAACAGAATTTATCAGAGTGTATCTCGTCTAGATTTTGATAAGACTTTCATTTATATGCCTGAAGTCCCTATCTATCCTGGTACCTTATAAAATGTATTTCTTACTGTGGATCTTGGTTAAAAAGGTTTAATAGCCTCCACTTAGAGAAGACTCCAGGTGCACTAGGAGGCTTGTGTGAGGATGCTCATGGCAACTTTGTCTGTAATGCAACCCCCTGGGAGCACCCCAATGTCCACTGACAGGAGAGGATGATTGAACTGTGCTACATGCCACATGATGTGAAGGAACACGAATCCACACGGAACCTAATATTGGGCAAACATCATCAAGTTGTGCAATGTGAGACGCTTGATTCTGATTTTACCACATTCAAAAAATGCAAAATAAATATGTCTATGTTGTTTAAGGGACACATTTATACGCAGGAAATATTTTCTAAGAGCAAGACAATCATAGACACAAAATTCAGGAAATTGGCTACAACTCCCACATGCCACACAATGAGGATGCGAAGGGCCCTCCCCACTCCACACCCCTTGGCCCAGGATGTTACAGCCACAGGGGGTGTCAGTGAGAGAATCTGATTTGGGGCTTTGGATGGGGTAGCACGCTGGTGCCAGAAAATGGGCCTCTCCACACCCAGGCAGTGGTGGGTTTGTGTTTCCACTTGGTCTGGGATGTGTTTCTGAACTGGGGGCCGAGGGGGGGTGAAGGGGGAGGGCGAGGATCAAGTGGGCGCCCTGTTCCCAGTGTGGGGCATGCGCCTCTGATGACAGGTTTTGTCTGGTTCCATCTGCTTAGCGGTTGCTGGAATCGTTGGTGTGTTCTGGTCACGGTCAGTACCGGTGTTCAGGCCTCCTTGGAGCTCCTCCCTCCTTCTGTCTCTCCATCCCTCCTCCCCCCACACCCCCCTGACCCGGCTGATCCTCTCTCCTCTTCTCTGGGCCCTGAGACTTGGTGACTTATGACCGTGACGCTGATCGTAGCCACCACCGAATCCTTCTGACTCTGCATGTGGACTTCGGTTTCTCTCTGGCTGGTTTCCAGGCCTATGTGTCTACATGGCCTGGACCTGGGCCCTGCTTTGAACAAAGAGCTGATTTTGTGTGACCCTTGATTTTGCATTTTCATTTTAAAAAATGTATGTATTTATTAGTAGCATATGGTAATACATGCTAAACCTAAATGTGAAGAACATGACCCTCCTCTCACTGAGTCATTACCTCGCAGGTCACCTGGACACATGTCTCACAGAGGAGCACATGACGTGGCTTTAAGTACAGGTGTTTGTCTTCCTGGGCTGGGTCAGCGGGAAAACGAAACTCTTGATCATAGAAGGTTGGGCCTGAGGCAGCAGCACGCAGACACACCTGCACAGGAGGATGGCTCTGGTAAGTCCTCAGAAAGCTTTTATTTCAAACACCACAATCCTGTTAGTGGTGATGATGTGGGTCTCCTTGCTGGGCTGCAGCTCTGGCACCGAGGGGCACGGGCGCCTGCTGAGGCCGGAGGGTCCGCTACCCGGGGCGGGAGGGCTCCCCAGAGCTTCCTGAGGAGGCAGGAATGGTGGGCTCATGGGGGGGGGGGCAGCCTCTGCCCACTGCCCAGTCCCACCTCCTCAGTCACACTGTCCTGCGTGGCTGGGAGGAGCTGGGAGGGAGGGACAGGAGAATGGCTCCCAGCGGTGTGGGGCCCAGGTGGGGGCTGCAGGAAGGCGTTCTCGTCCACCTTTCGTCTCCAAGCAGCTCACCTGTTCCCTCTGCTTTTCTTTCCATCCCTCTCTTCCCCTCCATATGCTGCTCCTTCCTTCTGGCTCCATAACAGTCACATTTCCGAATGCTGGCTGCATCCCGACACCATGCAAATGGCTTTTATTTAATCTCTGCTTCAAATATGTGAGCACATTTTCCTTGATAGCCCCCCTCCCCCCAAAACCCAAATGGAAACCGAGGCTAAAATCCCCTGGACCGTGCCTCCCTCCTCGGGCCCTGCCTCCCCCTCCACCCCAGCCGCCCACACGGATGCCCAGCCACTGTCAGCGGAGGGAATGGTCTGGTTCCTGGGGGACAGGGACACGGGCTGAGGACGCACCTGGGTCACTGCGGGAGACTCCGTACCGCAGCTCGTTCACGAAGTGCTCACAGTTGTCGCTGACAGCTTGTAAAGCATCTCCCGCCCCAGCAGCTCCTCCGCCTGCCGCACAATTTTGCTGAGAGGGCTCGGAGAATACTTCCGGTCATGCTTGTTAATTGACACGGTACATGCATTACCCGGCCACTTTGGAACAGCACCTCCTTCTTCACAAGGGCCCTCCC